ACCTTGCCAAACATTTTGCATTGCATGTCAGTATTCATCCTTTCATGCACCCTGTAACCTGATAACATGATACACTGTCCACTGTCGTAACCACTGTCCCTGAAAGGGGTTAAACTGGCAGACTTTTCTCAGACAAAGTAATGCAGTGTTTGATTCAATACACAACATGTAATTCTCTTTGCCTTTTTTCCATTCAACACACATTAAAAAAATATATAAAACATACACACAGATACATACAGCAAGGCTCAAAATAATCAGTTTCGCATCGCATTTTCAAAGGAAAAATGAGCATTTTGTGCCTCATCAAAGCGCAGTGAATAGCAAAACTGAGAATCAACCACCAACAGATAGTAGTAGAAGAGGAAGAAGAACCACCAAGGAGGTCTCAAAAAGCTTTGCATGGCTCACGTCATGTTCTGCGGATCGTCAGAGGTCGAGGGAATTTCGGCAATTTATAAAGGTATTCAATTTTTTACTTTCAGTGCAGCTTTACTTTTGAAAGGTACTTTAGATAGGCACTCACACTGCTCTGTTCTCGCTCAAGAACTCTCACCAAAAGCGGGAGTCTCGGCCACGTTATCCCCCCCATTAACGACTTGGTGTAACCTTGCGCACAACAAAGTAGTGCCATCAACATAACACAGTGGCAAGCATTGCACTCAACATTATGTTCACGAGGAAAATCATTACTACCTTGTAGAAATGCAGGTTAATTCAAAAGTTCACAGGGATGGAGGCCAACTATTTCCAGTTAATGAACCGCACCAATAAACAAAATGCAGGCTCTTGAGTTGACATCAAGTCTTATCGCACATGTTACCAAACATATTTCAATGGTTGCAAAATGAGAAATATTCTTTCAAATGTTTATTGACATTACATTGTCTTACGTGTTTCTTCATAAAACCAAACTCCAAAAAACAAAAACAATCCAATGCAGTCCTGGGTCCAATTCTCAGTAAACAGAAAAAAAACACAATGGTTTCATTTTGTTGGTCCAGGTTATTTGATCACTTGGGTGTGTGCTTCTCTGCGAAATAATGCATTTGTGAGTGAACCTTTTTGAAGGTATTGGCTTTCACGACTTTTAAACACACACCACAGACATACAAAAAATGATTAGCTCAACTTTACCACAAGCCTGGTGAAGGATACAATGTGTGAGAAAATGTGCTTGCAGGCACAAAGACAAAGTGACAGACAGCATGAAAGATGATGACTTCCATTCACACGGCATTAAACCTGTGGGACAATGGTGATGTGAGGAGGGAGTGAGAAGATTAGGACTGTTCAGACATGGAGCATGCATACCACAATAAACTATACATATTGTTTGGCTTCAATGACTCTTCACCAAAATGTACTTTATGTTATTAACCTTACACTGTTGGTTAAATGGTAAATTAATAAATGTTGATGCATTCATCATTAAACAGTCTACTTTCTAACAAGAAATTGTCAAGTGCAGTGGTGGTGAGATAAAGCGCTATACAAATGCACTCCATTTAATATTTTGATCAAATCTAATTTTTCATCTGTATGGCGTGCGTTTTTGGAAATGATCACATAATATGACTCAATTCTGAGATTTTTGGAGCTCTACAATCGATATATCTGATAGCAATATAAAATGGTCAACTAAAGTCGGGAAAACGAGTCAAGAGAGATTGTCAGCCGTCATGCTGAGACGTGCTGCCGAGAACAACTTCAAAATAGAAAATGACCCAAGGCATTGATTTCCATGTCATTAAGTTAGGTTTATTTGTAAGTTGGCCTTCTCACCGCCTTGGTGGCATATTACTGTCATGTAATATGTAATATGTATTACTGTCATGTACACTTGTTGCTGTGTTTGGCTTCACTTTTTTCCAGACAGTGTAGACAAAATAAACCTCTAACGCTGTCCTAGCACAAAGGGGGTTAAAAGACTTGGACGCTGAACTGGGAAGACCAACTCACCCAGGTTATCTTAGTGCTAGCTCGCTGGTGTGACAGGACATGGATGTGTTTAAAATTTTACCAAAAGGAAAAAAATACACCATGGGTTCTGTTGTTGGTGAGAGAATCCTTGCGGTAAAGTTATTTTAAACTAAAAAGGAATACCTTTCAATTGGTTGACACGTTGGGTTAGTGCATCAGACGTATACATAGTTGATACACTCCGATATAGTTTCAAAAAAGTGAAGGTGAGGCTCAAAAAGAGCTTTGGATAACATATAGTATTGATAAAGCGCTATATGTGCACCCCATTTACCATTATGATCAAATTGGATTTTTTATTTTTTCGACGATGACGTATTTTTCCAAAAAACTACAATGAGTAACCCATTCGAGTTGGTTTGGGCTCCACTGCTCACACAGTAAACAAATAACAAACACGGATATTGGGTGCAAGTCCAGGCTATCTATCTATCTATCTATCTATCTATCTATCTATCTATCTATCTATCTATCTATCTATCTATCTATCTATCTATCTAGCTATCTATCTATCTATCTATCCATCTGTCCAATTGATTGTCCGTCCGTCCATCCATACATCCATCTGATCAATAACAGTTGTCGTAAGATAAAAAGGGAAATGAGTGGGTTCTGACAAAAAGAGAGTTTACAAACATTTAAAGGGGAAGTCAACCCAAAAAGTCTATTTATAAGAACATGTTTTCACCAGCCCCACGACTCTAAACACAGCATTCTGAGGAGTAAAATCCACCTGTTTTTGTCCATCTCGGGGGGGGGCATTTTTTCCACTTGTTGTCAACTGGAATTGACATCACAGTTGCTCAGGGCTCAGGTAACGACCAATCATGGCTCAGCTTCAGAAAACAGGTAAGCCGTGATTGGACGTTACCTATGCTCTGATCAGCTGTGATGTCATTTTCAGTTGAGGAAAAGTGGCATACTGGCTGCCCCCTGAGATGGCTAAAAACGATTGGACTCTGCTGTTTAACTCATCTTCCACAAACGCAATATTAATCAGAATGCTGTGTTTACATCAGTGAAGGCACATCGTACATATTATTGTGAAGACAATTTTGGGGTTGACTCCCCCTTTAACATTTGTTTTCATATGCTGCTGAACAGTATAGCTAAATTACATCCTACAAAAAAAACCAAACAAACAAACAAAAAAAAACTTTGTAAGATGGAACACAATAAAGTCTGGACCCCATATTCCTACAAAGTTCCGACATGTCTGCCACAACTATTTGCATCAAATATTGTTTGGATCAGGAGTCATTGTCAACAAATCTTTTTTTAAGTGTGTCATACACAGTGGAGATGAGTCTGTTGCTGCCGGAGCACAAGACTTTGTACCGGTATGAACATTTACGTGTGTCATACACAGTGGAGATGAGTCTGTTGCTGCACAAGACTTTGTACCGGTATGTACATTTAAAAAAATTAAGAGCCTCTCTTTTGGGGAATTCTACTGCCTCTCACTATTCTTCCATGCCTGTCACTATTATTCTACATCTGTTTGTCAGCTTGCATTACTTTGTCGGTAGGCAAGTCTCTTGCTTAAATAACTAGAGCGTATCATGGTCTCAAGGACTACGACATTGTGTTCTTCATCTGTCAATAAAACATGAGTTTTTAATGGAGGGAAAGGGAGTGAGCTGTGTCTGGACTCCTTGGCTATCCCTGATCCACCCACTGAGCCCTTGAGTGACTCACTTTTTTTTCTCTCTCTCTCTCTCTCTCTCTCTCTCTCTTGATTTCTCTCTTTGTTCCCCATCCCTCCCTCTTTGCACATCACCCAATCCTCCAGTCTCCTTCCCTCGTTCCTCCGTCTGCCCACAAATTACTTGTTCTCTCTCTCTCTCTCTCTCTCTCTCTCTCCCTTGATTTCTCTCTTGGTTCCCCATCCCTCCCTCTTTGCACATCACCCAATCCTCCAGTCTCCTTCCCTCGTTCCTCCGTCTGCCCACAAATTACTTGTTCTAACTGCATTTATATGCCTCCTTCTTGTCTGTGTGTTGGTATCTGGTTCGGCATCAACCACCCACACATGCAAACTGCTTCATATCACACCACACAAGACATATGTGAATGACCTTCTGCATCACAAAGCTTGCACACAAGCACACCGCAGTCTTTTGTCTCCTTATTTCCGGGCTGCTGCTGCTGTCCACCTTTAAATGATAAAAGACACAGGCAGATGATTGCCTTCAAGGAAAAAGCCACTTTATTTCCCAATCTCTTCTCTTCTCTTCTCACAGTTCAAACACCTCAACCTGTGACTCTGGCGTGTGATGTCTATTTGACTGACAGGCTGACCAACCACTTCTCAATCTGATTGATTATCTGACATGTAGGTAATTTACTGGTGCATTATAAAAAAGATTGATTGCACCAGCATAACCACCTCTAAATGTTCAGACCAGTTTGTTGTTGTTGGTTTTGTTTATAATTTGTGGTAGCACAGATAAGCATCACATACAATTTTATATCATGCCACAGCCATGAATTATTTCAGCACCACGCGTACACACATGGAGAAATTGGCATACACATTGACGCAATTCCTACTGATACAAATATAACATATTTTGTACTGTTTTTATAAATGGTAATTTGCTTTTGGAGGGATGCAGTGAAAACCACACCAAAAGACTAGATAATAGATTATTTTGCCTACCTGCACAACTATCCTCATCTTGATGAAAATTGATATAAAGTGTACGGGGTGCAACCCCAGGTGGATTGTCAGATAAATTGGAAATGCGAATACTGTACACTGTTCCGCAAGTGATATCATATTTACAGTGCACGAGGCGCCCAATGTTTTCAGGAGGAATAAAACAAAACCATCAGATTCTCATGCGGAATGACAAATCAAACAAGAACCATTTTAATCATTCTCACTGAGTCTCACTCTCACCGGTTTATTTTATTTTATTTATTTTTTTTTTTTTTAAGAGAGAGAGAGATAATGGTTGAAGTGCAGAAACACGAAAGGGTTTTGTTTTCCTTCATGATTTCCCGAAACTCACCTGAGGTCTCCGTTTGAGGTACTCCGGCCAGCGTGAAGCCCTTCCCAGTGTAGAACTGACGCAAGTCGGCGCAGCTCCTGTCCGGTGCAGGCCCAGCTGCCCCGCTCACACTCGGCAGCAGAGAGAGCGTCAGGACAAGCATCTTCACAAGCGTAGTCCAAAAATATCCGGCAGGTAAAAACTGCATTTTAGGACGTAACGGGAGTTCTTCGAATCGTACTTGTCGTATCGGGCACCATGGGAGTGTGGCGGCCGTTTCAACCAGCGACGGGTCCGATAGAAGAATTATGAGAGGGATAAGCAGGATACAGACCGGACTGGAAGCCTGCTGTATTTTTGCGGACGAGAAACAACGACGCGCGGCTGTAGGTGTCAGGTACAGCCCGCAACCCCTCTCCTTCTCCTTCTTCGGGGCTGAGGGATGCCGTAGACAAAGAGCGAGAGAGAGAGAGAGCGAGAGCGAGAGCGAGAGCGAGAGCGAGAGAGAGAGAGAGAGAGAGAGAGAGAGAGAGAGAAATATGCCACTGTCAAAGCCGGATTGATTTTACACAGGGTAACCTGCTTGTTTAAGGATAAAATATGTTATATCAATAACGTTCTACTATGTTCGAGAATAAAACAAGTAATGTAGCCTAGGGAGTTAGTGTGACGCTATGCCCGTTTTTGCTGTCTCACACCGTCTGACCCTCTCACTCAAGCGTTCGCACAGCGCTACCTGCAGGGTGTCAGGATTTGGAAGGCGTAACAAATGTTTATATTCTCCTCGCATTCTTCAACCAATCATCGGGTCCGCCGATCGGGCGGGGTGGCCATCAGGAATTTCGGGAAACGAAATTAATTTTCATTTCATTGCTTTTGAATTGCCACGTCAAAGCATTGGAATTTACAACACAGGTAATTACAGAGTAAGTAAACATTTTACTAAGATACATTTTTTCATTCATTTCAAGCATTTTTATTCAACAGTACAACATCCATCCATCCATTTTCCGATCCACTTATCAAGTCAAGTCAAGTCAAGGCAACTTTATTGTCAAATGTGCTCTATGTGCAACATACAGCACAAATGACATTTCTTTCCTCTCAACCACAGGAGAGAGAGGACTCCACACAGGAAAGCCGCAGCCAGAATCGAACCCTGCACCTCTGCACTGTGAGGCCGACGCGTGAACCACTCGACCACTTTTTCAGCAAGCAAAGTACCAAGTCAAAATGATCTCCCCACTTAAAAAAATGCAAAACATTAAATTTATTTTCAAATTTACTGAGGATTCTTTGTATCTACAATGTATGTATGTTGTATCGACAATGTATTTTGATGTACCTTGCATAACCGAATGAGCTTTGATGTACCTTGCATAACCGAATGAGCCAACGTTGCACAACACACATAGTAATTATCATGATCATTTTTTGTAATTACCTGAGTTTACTTTGATGACTTGCATTGAATTGAATCAGCCAGGGTTGCATAGTCGCTGCTGACAACCAGCCTCAAGCACACATCAGTCATGGTGGACTTCATGAACTTCATGTACGAAAAGGGTGACTAACAAAAATAAGCGGAGCCGAATAATGCAGTCAAGGAAGTAGCCCATTTCCTCATGTAGAGATGCTTTACCTTGGTGAGTATGTTCCAGAACTGTTCATGAGTCCTCGACTTCAGCTCATTGTCGGTTTGTCGAGTCAAAATCTCACCTTCCACTCCAGAAGAGTTCATGTGAAACGGTATTACACTGTTTGATGCGAGTGAATCAATCTCAACATCTTCCTGAAAAGGACAGCACATGAAAGTAGCGACTGGCTCAAGCAAAGCAAAGTCTTGAAAGCGTTTGTCAAACTCTGACAGACAATCGTCAATTTGCTCTGTGTAGCGTGCACTGTAAAGTTGCTCACGGGCCTTGCCTTGCGTCTGCAGCTCTGATGCCAGCTTCTGGAAATTTGCCAATGAAAAAACAGCTTTGAGGTGAAAATGGTGCATCTTTTGTTTGAAAGCGTTAACCAAGCTGATCATATTGGTCACTGTTTTGTCTTTGAAGGTCATTCAACAAGGTTGGCAGTACGGTTAAAAATTCCAACAGCCACTGACCGTCATTTAGTTGCTCGTATTCTGTATGTCCAGATACATGGAAAAACTCCATCTCTGGACAGAGCCCCCAAAATCTGTGGAGGAATTTCCCACGACGAAGGCATCTCATATCAGTGTGTGGTAACAACTCAGAGTGGTCGCCTTCTCCAGATACGCACAGAATAATGAAGTCTTTCATGTTGAGTATTTTCGCACATAACGCTTGTTGGTGGATTATGCAATGGTAATTCAAGAAGTCTGGGAACGCATCAGTCTGCCTGCACTTGGCAATAAATCCATTCAGCTCTTCACACATACGGAATATTTAGTCTAAATAGTGTATCTGTGAATAGTTGAGATAGGATCCATCTAATGAGGGCACACAGCACCAAGAGTGAACAAATGGATCAGGATGATGTAGAGCAGTTCGCCACCTCTTTAATCATAAAAATGTTTAAGATTATTCCTCTCTGACATTTTCAATTAATCAAGATTATTCCATTTTTTTAAACAGCAACATTTGGGGCCATTTAATGCATGTGGTCATTTTCATGATGTGTGCAACCAAATGATCATTACCAATATGCATTTCTTGAAGGAAATCAGTCACCGGTGGAGGATTCAGAACCTTCTCATGCTCGCTCTGGCAGGACTGCTGGACTTGATGGATGAGCTGTCTGACACCAGGCAGTCGTTCACCACATCGAACATCCTTCCAGCAGTAGAGCCCGGAAAGGTCACTGGCAATCTTGAAGTTTGAGTGACACCTCGGAAATGCAGAAATCCCAAACAATATGCCTATAGCAAGGAAGCCACTTGTGATTCACTTATATTCTGTTTAGGCTCAGATGAGAAGAGGTGGGATGAAAGGTATGCATGCTAATCCAGTCTTTAACAGTGATTGACGCGTTGACACACAGAACAATCTCGACTGGTGTCCGTCTTGCATTACTCCAGTGATTTGCATCTCTTTGGTGTGTCTCAAAACATAACTCAGTTCGGATATTCGGGGCAGTGATGGCGTTCAAATCTTATGCTTCACTGGATACCAGATGGGTATTGAGTGCATAGTATGCACTTCTATCAATTGCAATGAAATGTTTTTCATAGGTGTTTTTGTCTCAAGACGATTTCGTTCTGCTGCAGTGGTTCCCGTGTGAGGGACCAAGAACTACGCAGAAATCCATCCATCCATCCATTTTCTGATCCACTTATCCTCACAAGGGTCACGGGGGGTGCTGGAGCCTATCTCAGCCGTCTTCAGGCAGTAGGCGGGGGACACCCTGAACCGGTTGCCAGTCAATTGCAGGGCACACAGAGACGAAAAACCATCCACGCTCACACTCAGACCTAGGGACAATTTAGAGTGTTCAATCAGTCTGCCATGCATGTTTTTGGAATGTGGGACGAAACCCGGAGAAAACCCACGCAGGCCCAGGGAGAACATGCAAACTCCACACAGGAAGGCCAGAGCTGGAATTCAACCCGGCACCTCTGCAGCGTGAGGTCAACGTGCTAACCACTGGGCCACCGGGCCGGCCTACACAGAAATCACAACAAAAAAAACGGATCAAATCTTGATGGCGGAAAGGCAAAAACAAGGTCGTACTGATATGCAGACTGTTTGTTTAGAGCTTCACCTCGAAGGAAGGCAATAGTCCACACGTTGCAGAATATTTTAGCAACACCTCAAACGGAATTGTCGAGTGCCGGATGCACAGGCCACCAGAGTCAAATGGTTTGACTCTGGTGTTTATTTTAAGATACTGTACATTTTTAAAGAATTAAGAATCAACTTCAAATATACTGCACATACATATAGATTGTGTTGGACTGTGAATTGTATCATATATTCATTCATTCATTCATTTTCCGAATCGCTTTATCCTCACTCGGGTCGCGGGGGGTGCTGGAGCCTATCCCAGCTGTCTACGGGCAGCAGGCGGGGGACACCCTGAATCGGTTGCCAGCCAATCGCAGTGTATCATATATATTCTTGTCATTTCAGATATGGTATCTGCCATTTACATTTATGCACAGAATATTCATGTATGGGTGGCCCGTGGCCAATTGGTTAGTGCGTCAGCCTCACAGTGCAGAGGTGCAGGGTTCGATTCCGGCTTCGGCCTTCCTGTGTAGAGTTTGCATGTTCTCCCCGTGCCTGTGTGGGTTTTCACCGGGTACTGCGGTTTCCTCCCACATTCCAAAAACATGCATCGTAGGTTAATTGATCACTCCAGATTGCCCTTTGGCATGATTGATTGTGGGTGTAAATACAGTAGTTGTTAATCTCTGTCTGCCCTGCAAGTTCTGGGTGTACCTCGCCTACTGCCAGAAGACAGCTGGGATAGGGTCCTACACATATCCGTGACCCTGGTGAAGATAAGCAGATTTAAAAATGGATGAATGGATATTCAAACTAACTCAAACTTTATGGCATCAATCTAGTGAAATCAAATGAACTAGTTCCATCAAAGTTGGAGTGGCCAAACTTGTAGTTCCAAATAATCAATGGCCATTGACGTATTGCTGGTTGCAAATGATCCCAATTGTCTTTTGTTGTTGTTGTTGTTGTTGTTGTTGTTGTTGTTGTTATTGAACTTAAACTAATAATGGCTTTATACGGGTAACAATGAGTTGTCATCAAGTTCAAAATCCGGTTCAGGATTTGTGTGAGCACTTTGAAAACTCCTCAATTCAGATCACCAGAGGCCTCAAATGTCATTCAATCTATCTTTCCTTTTTTGCGTCTTTCAATAAATTATCTTGTGCTTTTGAAAATTCCAATCCCTGGATTTAAAATTTATGGGCACCTTGACAATGGCCATCAAAAGCCATATGTTTTAACTTACTAGTATTTTATCTGTGGCTGCATCTATCATAAGGAAGCACATGCTGTGATGGATGTTTAACAGTACTTAAATTAATGCATTAACGATTTATTTTCCAAGGGATTTGTGATTGGTACTGTATTTGGAAAAGATTATTTTATTTAGCATGGAAAAAATAATGGCAAACAGTATTTCTAAACCCCTTGGTTGTAGATTTTCTTTCAAATTTGTTTTGTTTGGCATGTCATGCGTTAACGCCACAGGAAAACAATGGAGTGTATTACTGGATCATTTGTGCTCTCGTGCCTCTTGACAAAATGTTCCTTTACGAACGAATTCACCTAATGAACGATCCTTCGGAACGTATCTCATTCGTAAGCTGGGGAGCGTCTGTATGTGTGTATATATATA